TCTTCGCAACCATGCAACACGAAAATTACAATCAACGCTAGCAAAAACAGTAATCGTATAAGCGTATTTAAAATTTTAAATAATTCTTTAGAACTTTGAAAGCTTAAGACGTTTTTTGAAGTTTTTTACAGTTTTCAAAAGTGGAGTTACACTTTAGGAAAGCTGAAACTCTTGGTAAAGCTTTTAAAAATTCAAATCTTTTGTGTATAGCAATTTTATAGATCATAGAGCATACTAACCATGCGAGTTTAAAGAATCGATGCAAGCTTTCAAAGATAGTAGAAAAAAGCATTGATAGCGCAAATAAATATTTACATTCTAAGCCATTTTTTGCAGCATAAAGTACTACAATACAAGCACCAACTTTTAAAATTAAATCGTTTTAATGAGTCGGGTTTGCAAAGCTTTTAAGCTTAAATGTTTTAGAGAGCTTTTTTGTAGGTATCATAATATTTTCAAGAGCTTTTTTGGAACGATGCAGAACATATCTATAACATACATTTAAGCGATTGTGGATCTTCAAGCCATACATAACTCAAAGCCAATTAACAACTTTTTTATTAATTCTCAAATTAGCAAACATTATGAGTTGTTAATCAAATTTTTTGTAAAATTTGTGAGCATTTTGTAACAATTTTCAATGTAAATGCAATGGAGGGATGTGATTAATGACATTACTTGTGATATTTTTTAAATCTTACAACTAACTTCACTGCATAGAAGTTTGTGTTATTTTCAATTGCTTTGGGACTTTATAATGAATGAAGAGAGGGTTTTGGGAGGTAAGTGTTGTTGATGCAACCTTAGAAAACTGAGAAAGTAATAGTTGTTGTTACTTGCTGAGAAAGCTTTTTTTTTAGAAAAGAAACGTATATATATGTATCGATTCAGAATCTCTAACATAAAAAATGATTTAAATTGAAAGGTTTCTAAAAATCAATATTTACGTGAAATGTTGAGAAAAGTGAAGTAATTGTATATTAAGCGGAAAATCACTCGCCTTAATAGTGGTTCACATAAAATTTGGAAATTTTGTTTAGAAATTTATATTACGTAAATTCTGCTCGCTTTAATGTTCCAAATATTTCCCTCGGTTGGTAACTCTATGCAGTTGTGGCAGCATGTTGAGTTTTGCAACATGTCTTATACTTGTGTGATTAATAACTAATTTTTGGGTTTTTAATTTTTTGTTGTATACATATTTATTTTTAATTAAAAATTATTGTTTTTTTGGTTTTAAATAATATTTTTTTAATACTTTTGTTTTAAATAATAAGTTATTTCTTTTTTTTAATTTTTTATAAACAATTATGTAGCTGTTAAATAATAATATAACTATTTTAATTTATAATTTAATTAATTTTTTTTTATTCTCCGAGTACTTATGCATTTTAGAATAAATATTGTTTTAAAATAATTTTTTTATTTTATTATAATAATTTTTTTTATTATTGTTGTATTTTTTTGTTACCGCTGTTGTTATAACTTTATTTGAAATAACTTTTATTTCAAATAGTTTTTTGATTTTTATATTTCTCCATTTGTGTATGTTGGTGGAATCCATATTAGTGCTTTTATAATGCCTGGTAGGACACTTGATTTACATGTTACATAGAATTTATTGTTGTTGTTTGCTAAATACATCAATTACATTTGCTTTTTTTTACATTTATTATATATATTTTTTTAATTTTAGTGAGTTTTATGAAGTTCGAAATATTAAATGAAAATCGAAGATAAAATAAATAAATAAAATAAAAATAAAATAATATAAAAAAAAATTAAAAATATTAAAAAAATATGGTCACACTGTTGCAGCTAAACTCAATTCGCCGTGTAAAAATGTGTTTAGCGCTTCAAAAATATTTAAAAACTAAAAAAACAAATAAAATGTGCAGTTGTAACTGCTTTACCGTTATATTCAATTATAGTTAGCTTTTAATAAAAAAAGCTCACGAGTGAATTGCTGCATATTAACGGGTTTTCAAATATCACGCAACGTTATTTATTATTTTTAATGCAGAAAATATTTTCTTCTCAAAAAGTGATTAACTTTTAAATAATTTAAGCTTTTCGCTGTTCGTTTTTTAAACCCGTTCGTTATAGAGCGTCAACAACAGTCTGACCAAAAATTATATATATTTATATAGTTTAAATTAAATAAATAAATTGGCTACATATATATACAACGTTATGTGTGTATGTGTGTGCATATAGCTTTGCTTTTCAAAGTCTTGCTTTGCTAATTAAACTAGCGTCATTTCAACTGCTACGCGCATACATATGCATTATAAATAATACCGTTATCTTTATTATGCTCTTTACAATACTTTTTTTTCAATTACAGACTACATTTACACATTAAAAGCTGTATTTGGTGGGCGAAAATAAATTGCTATTCGAGAATTAATTTAATTTTATTGCATAATCTCTAAAAATTTTGCACATATGTTCTGTATACACGCATTATAAAATGCTAATTTTTGTTGTTGTTTGTTTTTTATTGTATTACTTTGCTTTTTTGCAAACATTAAACTATTTACAAAAAATTTTTTGCATTTTTTTGCAAAAAGCAGAAATAAATAATTACAATTAATATGAAAAAATCGCTAAATTTACACTTAAACAAAACAATTAAAATAAATAAAATATTCGCACAAATAAATAACAGTTGTAATAAATTTAAGTTTGTTCATGTTGCTTAATGTTTTTATATAATTTTTGTTACATTTTTTTCTGATAACAGTGAAGCGTATTTAGATTTTTACTTTTTACTTTGCAATATTTGCTTTTTTCTTAAACTAAATTTTTTGTTTTTATTATTTTTTATTTTTTTTCTTTGCACACAATTAGAGTGGATGAGTAAATATTTGCTTAATTTTTTTTTTTTTTTAATACAAGATATATTTTTATGCATTTTTATGTTTTGAAAAAATGCGAAAATTCACTACAAAATATACCGAATTTTACAAATACAATAAATACAGTAACTAAATCGCACGCTACTAGCATACAAACAAACTTTTGCCATAGTTAGCGCGCACACACTCTCGTACTCGCTCTCTCTCTCTCTCTCTCTATCGTTTACTACAGCTGCGTACCAGCCTGTTTGAAAAGAAGTAGAGAAAATTAATTTGTAAACGACTGCTCAACGACTTTCGCTCGACGGAATCCTCTGCAGCTTGGACCAAATGTTTCTGTCAATATTTTGCTTAAATTCTCAGCGTTTTGCTTCGCCACCTGCGCACTTATATTTTTACTAATTTATTATTTATGTCGCATGTGTGTGTGTGTGTGTTGGCGCTTAGTATTTTTCATAACTGCCTAATTTCCTTTTCACTAGTTTTTTAGCTAACTTTCCTGTATTCATTAGTTACATTTATTACTCGCCTGCATTTGTACAATATATGAACCTGTCATACATGTATGCATGGATGTGTGTATGTATGTGTGTACATATGCATACATATAAGTAATTATATGCATGTATGCATGTATGTAGTGTATGTGTGTGTATATATGTATATCTCTTAATATTTATAGCTAAATAATACATAATTATTCCTTTGTTGTTGTAATTTCATTTTGTTTTTGGTTTTTGTTGTTGCATATACTGTTCAGAAACACTCTGCCCTTAAAACACTAATACGGATTCCATCGTAATTGTATCTCATTTATTGTTTGTCTGTGCATTTGACGCCGTTGTGGCTTGAATTTGTGATGCGGTTTGCGATGCCGACTCCAATGTGCGACGTGCCAGTCTTGACCTGCAATACAAAAAACAAAAATTCGATTTAAAATTTTATAACGAAAAAAAAAATTCAATAAAAAAGTTGGCAAAAATCATTCAAAATGTAGATTCAAAGCAAAATTAATAATAAATAAATCAACGTATTTAGCATATTTTTAGGCGTTTTGGCTTTTCAGTGGCCAAAACAGCTTAATTATTAAATAATTTTCGTCAATTTGTTAGGAAAAAATAGAGAAAAATGCAAAAAATAGGTCTAAACTTAAAAAAATTACAAACTTAGCATACACGCAGGCGCTCTTCGTCTAAAATGCCTATATATGAATTAATGAATTCATATGCAATATAATTAATCCTTATTTATTGAAGAAAAATGAGGTAAGTCAGCATAAAACACAGTTAACAGACAATAGTAAAATATATTTAGCATATTCACAGGCGCGTTTCGCATCAATTTTTATACGCATAGTTATGAATACTTATTTATTTGAATTTCTTAAAGAAAATTAGGGAGAGTGAGTTAAACAATGCACAAAATGCAGTAAGATGAAATTTATAAACTAATACTTAGCATACCCGCAGGCGCTCTGCGTCTAAAATTTCGACATGTAAGTATAGTAATGATTATTTCTACAATTTTAACAAACAAGGATGGAATGGACGATAAAAAAAAATTCAGAACACAGTTTGAGGTTTATATAAAATATTTAGCATACCCGCAGGCGTTTTCGCTTTTACGCGTCCCACTAAGTTAGTTTAAAATAATTCTTGTAAATTTATGAAGAAAACACATTGTAGGGTAGGTCGGTTGAACTTTACTAAATTTTGCCTAGGCTGGTATACTAGATAGGTCGAGGCCTCTAGAGATTCATAGAAAATGAATAATTTCTGGAATGCAACTATGGCATTAACTATGCCACAACAATATTTAAAAAAAAATTGAGGGAGCAACAGAGAGTAATATGTAGATAGATGTAGAGAATGAAAAAATTTTCTGAATATTCAAAACAATTTAGCTGATGGTTGTTACGGCCTTCTATCATGAAATAACAGCCTACGTTTCTCCATTCTTCTACTCGCTAAATCTGAGCTCCAAAAAGTATGTACGTGAAGATAGCGGTTCAGTAACCATTTAGCTAGGGCTAAAACCCCGTTTTCAATCTTTTCAGTTTAGAAAAGAATTCTAAGATTTAACCTCTTAAAAAAATCTTTATAACCTCTGCAAACTTTACTCACTTTATCTGTCCAGCCAGTAGCGGATTTATGGCGTATAGCCAATCGTGTACCTCCTTATCGCCCAACGTTTGCAGCAGATAACCACGATGTTTAGTGACAACACTGCAAGACAAGAAAGAGTCAAGAAATTAATTATGAAAAAATGTATATTCCCAAAAGTTTTTTTATTCTAGTTTTTACCTAAATGTGTTGGGTATCTTAACCATCGCAGCCTGATCCTCACTGCACTCCACCTGTGCTGTCGCTAAGTTCAATACTGCACGCTCCACTGGATCCTTCTCGGACTTGTAGATGAAAACATAAGGGCGTCGCACAATCTAAATGAGTAAATTTATTAGAAAAGAGAAACTAGCAGTTTCGTCTAACGAACTTACCACCCAACGCTTCTTCCAGCCCGAACCACCATGCTCCAACACATTCAGCACACCCTTGCGCGCTACCACAGCGCTCACCCTAATCTCCTCCAGCTCGGGTACATACAAGCGTAACGGTAATGCCGGTTGTGTAGCGGGTGCTGGCGCCTCCCAACCATTGGGCGCATCAGCGCGATCAGGTGAACATAACCTGCAAAAGGGTCAAATTAACAATGAGGCAAAGTTTAGGCATAGCGGTGGCATGAAGTACGTAAGACGGTGAGGTGAGAAGCGTACATTGAGAATTTGAAAAGGGTGGGAAAAAATGTATTTAAATTTACAAAATTACAAATGGAACATTGATATACTTTTACAAAGGCAATTGGTGTTTAATATAATATGTGAGAGAGAGCGAGAGAGGAGGAGGAGCACAATATGTGGAAAATGTGAGTGGTGAGTCAAATTGTGTGGCAGTGAAGCTAAAGTTAGTATACAAAATATATATGTGTATGTGAATGTAAATGTGTGAATAAGTAATCACAATGATCGGTTATTTTTTTAATGTGTTAGTAAAGCGTATGTGTTGAGCTATAAGTTTTCTGTTAGGAGGCGTACTTTTCAAACAGTAGTATACGTTTCATTTGGCAACTAAAGCAACACAATCTAATTAAATGTGCTTTGCTATGTAAAACAGCTTCATTCAGCTATATTCCGCTAATTCAGCATATATATTTCTGCTCAAAAAATCTACTTGAGACTAAGATATACACCCACTTTTGTACTTAAAATGTATTCAGCGCATTTTTGACTGTTCTATGCCTCAAATGCAAACATATTGTAACCCAAATGACATTCAGCTAATACAGCACACTTCTCTATTACTTAAGCTCAAGCCTGTTATATAGATATTACATAAACTAAAAGATTTAATTCAATTCAGCTTAATTCAGCGCATATTTTATTATTTTGTTATCTATTAACATAATTCAGCGCATTTTTGCAGTTAGTTATTTATTTATTTTCACCACATTATTTATTTACACTCACTTAAAAAACATGTGTTTCTTTCAATCCAGCACTATTAAAATATAAAGCATTCAATTTTTTTTATTCGAATAGCAGCGAGCTATTCTCAGCTGCTTTAGCATATATTTTTGGTAATTTAGCGTTTTAAAACCCATATTAACTTATATTCAGCAGGCTAAAGTCCTCTGATAATGCTTTATTCTTTAAAAATTAGTTACACTGAGAGTTACTTAAATGCATGCAGCTATGAAAATAGTGCGAAATATGTATTTATCCTAGTGAATACTGCATTCAGCGCCAAATTTGTCAAACAAATTTCTGTATATATATTCTGTATATACATATTATAGTTGTTTTTAATTGTTGGTTAATAAAAATATTTTCCCAATTCCAGTAGCCATGCTATAACGTAAATACTTGTATTCAGCTAATTCAGCACTAAACAGTTTATGATAACTGTTCAAAATTCAGAGGATATCTATTGAATTACATTATATATGATATGTATTTAATTGTATTTTTATTGAATTACATTTTTTTTTTTAATACAGCACCATTTTCGTAAAAAGTTATTCAGCGCGTTATTTTTAACATTATATGTATGGAAATACTGCTGAATATATGAATTATAAAGTCTTACATAGATTTAGACACGGTTTTACTTGGAGTTATACGATTTGTTTGAAAAAAACGCTCCGAAAAAACAAGAAAAAGCTTTAACCGTTATTGTTATCAAAAAAATACAAAATTTTGAAAGCAAAGCAACAAAAAACTTCGTACAAATTCAAATTTGAAATAAATAAGAAAATTACCTTCGTCTAATTTTTGGTGTTGTTCTAATAAGTTGAAATTTGTTTTGAGTTTTACCAAATTAAGAGATTTACACACAAATATATAAAAAAGAAAAAGAACACAAAAGCAGAGTAAAAATTTAGGTATCAGATACATATTTTTGTTTAAATATTTTCGGCAAAAGTTTTGTTTTTAATAAAAGAAGTAATAAAATTGTTTTCTTTTCTCAAGTAGAAAACTGAAGATTTCCAACAAAAGAAGTGGGCAATCGCAATTATCTGCCGGGTGTTAGCAAACACGAACTCAAAACCAAACTACTTACTCAATAGAGTTGCTGGAGATGCAGCTAACGGTCATGTCAGCGCAACCCTCATCACTCGGCGACACATCCGACTGTGTGGCTGTCTCTGCTGTGGGATCTGTTGCTTTGTTGTAGGTGCCTGTGGTGAATAGCAACAGTTAATAATAACTATTTACAACGACAATTTCAGCGCAGCGCTTACCCTGCACCAGCTTCAAACACTTCATCATCAACTCCTGCTCTCTTTGATTGTACTCCCGTTCGGGCACAATCTGTTGTGGATCCTTGACGGGCGTCTGTGGAGATGGCGGTATGACCATATGTACCGGTGAGGTGGCGGCACGCGCTGCCAAATTGCAAACATCCTTCTCTGTCTTTGTTGTGGGATTTGGATTTGTATCCATGCCGAGGCGTTCGCGCAACAACAGCAAATGACGTACACGTCCCACCTCCTCAAGGCGCGTCAACTTTTCCAATTCCCATTGATGATCGAAAATGAGCGAATCGCCGCGTGGCCGCCAGCCGGAGAGATTCTCCTCGCCGCGCACATAAGTCGAGCTGGTGTCTAGAACGCGACGCTGACGTCGTTGCACACCTTTTTCCGCCACGCGTGAAAGAGAGGAAGAGAAATAAGCGCATTAGTTGTGAGCTTTTTGTGAGTGCGTAGCGAAAGCGGAACTTTTGAAGCTTTGCAACAGTTTAATTTTTCTCTTTTTTTTTGATATATCTAATTTTAAAAAATGAGTTATCGTATTCGATTTTATAATTGCATGATTGGCTGCTTCAAGCATTAAATGGTAAACAACGCTTTCGAACGGCAAATAACAAACAACCAACACTACGTTAAGAATTTCTACCTGGACTACCTGCTTCAGAGGCTCTACGCAATGACAATTCATACACGCCAGACAAACGATTTGCTTCTGGATTGCGATACTGTCCGGAGAAGAGATGTTTCAACGAACGTGGACCGGTACGTGCATCGCGTCCGTAAATGACCATGCTGAGGTCTTTGGTGATAATAGCAGGGCGTGCGCAGTTCTCGAGCTGTAAAGTGCGTTAAATTAATATTGAATTAAATTTTTGGCATATTCAGCGCTTATTCAGCACATTGTTTTATGAATATTTATAAAATAAAATTGTAAACTGAACTCAAGATTTTATACTAAGCCAACTCTTATTATATTTAGAGCTATGAGAACCAATTCAGCTAATAATAAATCACTTTATAATATTTATAATATTTCGAATATTTAAATTTAAAAAATTAACAGCTATTCAAATTTATTCAGCGGCAGTTTAACAAGTTTAACATAAACATAACAAACTATTTAGCGAATAACATATTTTTATATAGTAAAATAATGTTATTAAGCACTTATTACACAAATTAAATAATAAAATATTCAGGAAATGGTATAAAATATTGTGCTTAAATACATACAAAATTTAGCTATAACAATGACTAATAAAGCTTTATATTAACAAACAAATTCAGCACTTTTAAACTACTTAAAAGCATTTTAAACGATTAAAAACATTATAAGTACTTTTTTTTGCAACATTTTTGAGGAGATAAAGTTATTTTCTTTTTTGTTCATTCAGCGCAAATTCAGCAAACATAATTTAGCATTTTCTTAACATTCTTACACTTTAAAATATTTAAAGCAATTAAATATGTTATTATCCAACACTTTGTTTATTCAGCGCAAATTCAGCAGATGTAAATTTTATATATTTGCTTTTGAAAATATATATAATTACTTTTAAACATATATTTTCATGAGGGAAATGTACATATATATTAAATAAATTTATTCAGCACCCATTCAACAACTCATTTACAATACTTTTCTATTGTTATTATTTTTCAATAGCAGCAGCAAAAAGAACTACACAAAACTTACCTCCAAATAAGCACTCAAAGTAATGTAAATTGTCTCGCCAGCTTGTGTAACGCGATTCAGCAAAGTGGAATTATGTAAGCTCGAATCCCAAGCGGCTTCGAAACGATAGAATGAACGGTCATCACCGGGTACGTCCAAAGTCTCACCGGGGAATAAGCCCAACGACAAAACACACGAGTCTTCATCCAAATCATCTGAAGATTCGGGTGTGTTACGTATACGTCCAACGACGAGCTCACGTATATCGCGCCATTTCACTTCAGCTGTTGGTTCGTGTACGATTGTGATACGTATGCGGCGTTGTATGCCCTGATGGAGCATGAATAAACCACGGCATGGAAGATCGTCGCTATGTTCAACCACCTGTAGAGAGGGCAGTAATTAAAGAATTATATAAACCTGGCCAGAAGGACCTCTGATAGTAATTATACCTACCGATGGCACATATTCGCCGTTCGGAGCCAATTCGCATATCTCAAACCAAACCAACACATCATGCTTTGCCAAAACTGTCGATGTCGATGGGCATGGTAGTGGTCCGAACTTGGGACTGCGCACCGGTTGGCTAATGGGAATGCTTGGTGGAAGCATGCGACGCGGTGGTGGTCGCGACACGAATTCCTGCTTGGCATCCTTATGTAAAGGATGTGTTTGGTAATGTCCGAAGATCTTAAACATAATCGGTTGTGTCTTCAAATACTCAATGAACGATTTGGTAACGGGTACAGTTATCTGGAAAGAGAAGAGATATTAATAAAATATTCAGTAGAAAAATCACTTAAGCTGCATACATTTTGCACATGGTAGAAGCCAAGTGGTGCACCCGATGCAGAGTTCTTGACCGGTTCAGTGGAGAAAGCCTCCTCATGACGATGCAAGAAGCTAAGCGATAAAATAAAAATATAAAATTCTTTTAAAAGCAGCTCTCTTAACACACAAACAATGCGACATACTTGAACTGACAGAAAATATCAGCATATTCAGCACCAATTCCAGTAGCCTGCAGTACGGTAACACGGAATGTGAATTCTTTGCCGACCTGCAAGTGCTCGCCAGGTTCTTCATTGGCCTCCTGACACTCAGAGGCTGAGTTTGAATCAATGCCACGGCCCGAATCAGCGTCCTCAAGTTCTAGTAGAACATACAAAAAAATATACATATTAAATTCCATTTAGCAAATATAAGCACCAAAACGGTCTTATTTAGCCAACACACATACCCTCAAGCTTGCTATCCAAACCACCGTTATCGATATAACGCTGCACATCATCCTTCTCGTTCAGAGCGCGATACTTTGGCTTGGCATCATCTTCGTTGAAAACTAAGCGCGCCGATTGCTTAACGCCATTGTTGAAATCAATTGACTCCTCATCCTAGAAACAAGAGAAAGAGGGAGAGAGAGGAGTGTGTGTTAGAGTTAAAGAGCGTTTATGACTCATTTTATATGCACTCACCAAAACTGGTTGCACCGCAACGCGCAAGTAGCCACGCACATCGCCACGTTCATTAACAATTGCCACCTTATGAACCAATGGCACCGGATATAGCAGATTACTCAAATAGATGAACGAACGTCCGACCATACGGAACCAAGGGAATCGGTCATAGAAGGGATCGCCGCCAGTCAGACTCTCCACATTGTAATCGGGTGAAGTGGGGCTAAGTTCAGCCTCGTTGTGATACATTTCGCGCATTAGCTCCAAGCGTTGTCTAAATACAAAAATAGGAAAAAGCAATAAAACGGGTAATTAGTGTTGAAAGGGGTATATTTTAATGAGAAAAGGTTTCTAAGCTGGTGCAATGCAGGCGCAAAAGAGTAAAATTGAAACGATATTTTACAAATTTATGCAAATCAAATGAAACAACATTTAAGCCCAAATTTGTAATGAGTTGCTGAGTATGCTGCTTAATGCATAATTTTTCCTATGAGTAGTGAGTTTGGAAAAATTTAATTTAAATACAATTCACCAAATCTATACTTAAAATTTCTTGATTGATTTAGAGCACAAATACTTTGACTGCATTTACGCGAAAAATTCGCTTTTATTTGGCTGTCTTACTATAATTTTTGCAAAGTTGAACTTGTGGAACACTGCAAATTGTATGATAAACTAGTTAATTGATATTCAGCAGCTCATGTTATGGCGTTCCTCAAAGGCACATTTATCTTTTACACACAACAGAAAGGCATATCTACGAATAATTAAAAAAACAATTAATAAAATTTATATTTTTGAGTAATAAGCAATTTATTTAAAAAATATAAATAATAATAAATAATAAAAATCCGCTCAAACACATATATACTCAAAATAAGTACAAAATCATGCTTTAAGTTAGTATAGACAGTAAGTTCATCTTCATCTTCTATTAAATACTCATTTACCGAAAAGAAAGTGTAATGGAGCTCCTAAGCATATTTTTTTGTACAAATGCAAATTTTCCTCCACACTCAACTTCTCTAAAAGTTTAAAATATTATGGACAAGTAGGCAGTAAGGCATATGTTTAGTACTTATATTCAAGTTTAGTTTTATACGGAAGGTGTATAAGTTATTTGGAAAGTGTTCTTAAAGGAACTATGTTCAAAAGTAGAACTTATCTAAGCAAGTATCATTCAGTTTCAGAGGTTCGACTTTAAAAGACAAATGTTTTGACCCAAACCGATCAGGTACAATCGAAATATTTTAAAGGTTTTACTCACAAAATTTCCCTTTTCAAAGTTTTGCTGCCGTCAGAGAATATGATCGTTCTTTGAATTGCACGACATATACAACCTCAAACTGTATCCTTTGACTTTCGGAAAACTCAAATTTAAAATCTGTTAATTGAATAAAATAAACTGTTTCGTAACAAATTCGATATAACACGTTATTAATTCATTTTACGCGAAAAAGCAGCGTTTTTTTAGACAGTCGTGCTGTATTTAATACAAAGTTGAACTTGTGGAACACTTCAACTCACAATGTAACAGGGACGAATATGTAAAAAATGCTCACTTGCGAAAGCTGTTCATACTCATTCTGTTAGACAACTTGAAGGTTATATAATGGTACTATTAAATTTTTCTAACTGTTATCTTCGAGCTGATACGTGTATATTTGCAGCTTTTTATTAAAAACTGACCTACCGAGAACTACGAGCTTCGTTGAAACATGAATTTTTGTCTAAAATACGAGCTGTACGCAATTTTTAAAATGTTTAGACCAAAAACGCATATATTTAAACACACATTATTATAAATTAAAAAAAAATACAACAACAGCAACAGAAAAAGAAACAGAAGAATATCAAGCTTGAGCTTTCCGAATATAACAAATTTAAAAATAAAGACCTCGTTGTAGCGAAAATGAAAGCAGACCTAGATGGCATTAAGTTAGCCAATGAGAGACGAGACGGTGAACTGCCAGCACCGACTTTCTGCGGACTTGTGCGCACCGCAGACGCGAGGCTATCGCTTAAAGGCACCAACAGCGACGACGAAGACGACGACGGCAACGACGATGATGTTGTGTTAGCGTGATTTTGTATTTGTAATTGGGACTGTGGGTATGTGAGAGTGTTGTCGGAATCGTTTGATGTAGTGTATACGCCCTTATACGTAGTAACTGTAGTTGCGGTATACGGTATTATGCCATCGTAATGCAGAGTCTCAGCCGTAAGCATAGCGCTATCACCGCACAATGAGGTTGTGTCGTAAAGCATAGAAGATGGTGGACTCTCCACATTGTAGATTTGGCGCATTAGCTCCAAACGATAGCTGATCGGTTGTTATTTCAATTTTATTTACATATTATTTTTTTGTTTTTGTGTAATTGGTAGGGTAGGATAGGTTAAGTATGTTTTTGGTTTGGTGGAGGACGTGCATGTGAGTTTAGGACAAGCAGTTTGGAGAAATTACAAAAAAAATATGAAAAAATACATCAAATTTTATTAGTAAAGCCTAGGCTATGTATGTATGTATCTAAAATACTGGATTAATATAGGTTATGAGCAATGAAAAATGTTATGTTAGTAAGTGATTTGAGCGTTCGAGTGCTGTGTGCTGCGCTTATGCTGCTACAGTAAAAATTTTAGTAAAATCTACAAAATTTCGTTTACCCTCAAATTGGAAAACTTTAAATAATTTTCAGTAGCAATTAATTTTTTACGTTAGTTGCAGCAGAACAACCACCATGCACGTTCCAAAAATTATAATTTTATTTTACTTTGCATTTAACAGAAAAATTTTGTATCAAAACAAATGCACTGCTTTAACTCTTCAGTAACTCATTGAAAATGCCTTTGAGGATCTTAATTTACAAAAAAAAAAGATGCTTTTAACAAAACAAATGTGGTATTTCATTCCCAAAAAAAAGTATTATTTAATATATTTGAATACTCAAAACAATGATTGCGATTTTGAAAACTTAAATTTATGTGTGAAGACATAGAACTACAAACTCTCTTTCGAACAAAAATTTGTAAATAACTCTCCAGAAACGCCACTTACCGCAATTTCTCCAAGGACCAGTAGTGTGTGGCACCGTTTTTGGTGTCGGTCACCTCTACAGCCACAATGGTTTTCGAAACTGGTGGCGCGCCAAATTCGTCTTCGCTTTGCAATGGCGTAGCGGCTGAGGCCAGCTCAGGTGGTAGTGGTGAGTAGAGCGTGTCGGTGAGCAGTGTGAATTGGAATTGCACCTATTGTAGAGTGAATTTTAGTTTAGAAACTAAAGTATAAAAAACTAAGCACACACAAACTCACCTTCTTTTTCAATTCTACGGAAATGGCATTTGCCTCCTTTAAGAATATAGCATTGCCCCAAAGATCGTCACGCAGTGAGGTGAATTGGTGGTAACGCCATTTGCGGAATGCCCAAGCAGCTAAGCCGGCCTCTCGTGCAGACCAGCAGGATTCGTAGAGTGGATTGGCTGAAAAAAAATCAACAGAAATAGTTTTGAAGCCGCTGTCTAAAGGTCGTATACTTTGTGAAAGCCCTTGGATGGCAACAAAATCAAAAATCGGTAAGACTGTCTACCTGCAATTTCTATAGTTTTTTCGACGAATATAACAGCAGAAATAAAAGCTAGCTTCCATGATTACAATTCTACCGGTTGAAGCTATTTCTGATTTTATTATATATCTTTGATTCTAAGCAAAGTTCTAAAATTATTAGCTTTAGCAATTGAAAAATTTTGATCTGCATAAATCTATAATATGATATTTTTTCCAAAATAAAAGAAACAATTTTTTGTTGAATTAAGATTAACTAATGTCTAACTTAGTACCGTTTATAACGGAAACTTGCGACAGCGTTGGCATCACTTGCATATTGAAAAGCGAGATATTTAAACTGCTAATAGCTCGACTAAAGCACTATTCCACCAGTGACTACAAAACTGTAAACAAATTTAAGTTGTGTGAAAGAGAAAGCCTGCTTAACACTTGCCCGCACTGAACACGCATGTATGACTAAAAATCTTATAACGGCCCTGTGGCGCAATGGATAACGCGTCTGACTACGGATCAGAAGATTCCAGGTTCGACTCCTGGCAGGGTCGCAATCGAATTTTTTATTTATATTTTTTAATAGAAAAAACTAGCAAATAATTCAATTTAATGTTACTTACTGTACAAATCCTCTTCTTGGTGGAAATCTTCTGGTGAATAGCTGCTGTACATCGACATGGTCATCGATTGCTCCTCGACTTGCTTTTGCAACGCATCAATGCGTGCTTCATAATTCTAAAATCAAAAAAAAAAAATTATATATTTATTAATAATCTACTAGGAATACAAGCATGCTGCGTCCACGCACCTTACGCTGTTCCTCGAATTGCTGATCGGCCTGCATCTTCTCACGCTTGTACTGTTCCTCCAAATTATCTAAGCGCTTCTGCATTTCGGCCTTCAAATCTATGCCCTGCTTCTCCAACAATTCACATTGTGCGAAATTCCAGTCCACCTGCTGTGTGTCGCACTTCTCCGTCTCATTCTCGTTCTCGGCATTTTCAGTAATCTTATCGCGCAGCTCACGCGCCTGCTCGGGATTGGTGAAGCGAAATACATGATTTTTGCCCAGAATAACACGTGAACCGGTCTTCAACACCTCTGGTTCGACTAATTTGCGACCATTCAAATAGACCAAAGCATCTTTGTGCGGTATGAGTGTAACGGTACTGCTACGATTTTCGAAAGTACAATGCTCTTTCAAAATATGCGAACCCGACAATTGTATATCTTGCGGTACATTCGCCTCGTGTGTACCCAAGCGCGTAATGCCGTCTTTAATGTAGTAGAGTAGACATTCAGATAAGTTGGGATCTTCATTTAGATTGACCAAATGTGGTGTTTTCTTTGGTGAGAATACACCAACAGTATCGCCATCCTCCTTGACGGCTACACCCATTTCAGCGAAAACGGCTTCGCGTTGCAAGCGTATCTCTTCGGTACGTTTTAACTTCTCCTCCCAAGTCTCGTTGAGTTCTAGTGCAAGAAAAAGAAAGAAAAAAGTGAAAAAGAAAAATTAGACAAAAGATACTTTTAAATAAAATTTACTAAAAAATATCTACGCACTTCTATATAAAGAAGAAGGAATATATCGGCGGTATTTGCTTAGAAAAAACTGATATTGAAGTCGAGGGTTCAACCTGAGCCAAGTTTGAATAACAGCCAAAAACAAAGACAGGTGCCCTTGTTAGGGCCGTAAAACAAGCTGATCTTATATTACGCATTTTTATATATAATATATCTAATCGACTATTGTAGGAAGCCCATACGAAAGTAGAACGATAGAGAGTACCAAATTCTTTTCAAGAGTCAAGTTGGACACTTGAACACTTCTAAAAAAATTAAGGAAAAAAAAAAAATGTTTGGCGTTGATGAGACTCCGTTATAACGGCAGTCAGCTCTACGGAAACGAAAGAAACTCGGATTTTTTTTGAGCGAGGATTATTCAGGGGTCTTGTGGAAACCAAGACCGATTTGCGTAATTGGCAGAATTGCAAACCAATTCTGATTTTCAATCGTGTCACAGTAATATAAATTATTTTCTTAACTTACAGTTCAAATCTGTCAGCGAATATCCTCTTGCTTTGTTTCTGATAACAAAACCGATAAAAATGGTGTCCGTGATACCCAAAACCGATATATTTTCTGTTTCGAACGTCAAACCAATAATATCTGAATTCTAGACACCTACTACATTTCTTTTTATCGGTTTTAATTCTGATTCCGACAAATTTAAGATTTTACAACACCCCTGATTATCTCAGTATTAGTCTCCAACAAATTTTAAGGTTTCCCACGCCTTCAAAATAACACTAAAAACCGGTATTAACCTCCCTGCGAAGTCGTAAAATATTCTGAAAAAGCAATCAAATGAAAACAAGCTTTGCAAAAAATCAAAATGTGGAGCATTTGCTCGCTATATTTAGGAACTGAAATTTTATAGAAATAAGCTCAGAACCATAAAAAGATCAGGAGAGAGCTCCCTAGGGTTCTTGGTACTTTATAAATTTCAAATTCGTTTTAGTAAGAACAGAGTTGTGAGAGGTCTTTACATTACCAGAACTTTAAAGTAAAATACATTTGCTTGACAATAGACAATGTTGAGTCTGTCCGAGACATGCCTATTTGATTCATTTCACCAACAACTCATGTTGTAACAGAACATGTTGAAAATAAGCCTACTAGGATACTGAAGGTGTGTTCGAAATTATATTATTTTAGAAGAGTATCCCAACCAAAGCGTTTAGTATTATATTCACGTTAACTATTGATTATTCTGCACTCGTTCACTTTACTTACCTGCAATCAATTTCTCGCTGGCCTGCAGCTGATCCACTGCCATTTCGGTAGTCGAACCATTGCGATTGCGTGCCTTTGTTGGCGACTTCAGTGGTCCGCTGCCCGATTTGGTCATTTCATCTTCTGTATAATGAGAGAAGATATTAGATTTCTTGTTTAGTTTTGGCTGTTTTTAGACATTGATAAGCGCATATACATATATTGTGGTAGGTATGTATTGAGAAGCGTGCAAAGCTAAAGAAGGATAGTTCAAGTTTATATGAGCTAATATATGTATGTACAAATGTCAGCGTTTTTTTATGTATGAGTGTTTGTAGATATATATTGTATGTATGTATGCATGTATGTTTGTAATTTAAATAAGCTATGAGATTAAAAAACAAACATGACAATGTTTTCATTTCCAGTTTGCGTATTAAAGTGGCGGAAGCGCAAAATAATTTCGAAATTAGTGTTGATACACAGTTAATTGTATATTTGTAATTTTGCAGAAATACATATTGCGGACGAGTACAATACATACAAATATGTCGGACGCACAATTATTATATTAGATATTCGTTGTATGGCTACACTGGCGGTCATAAAAATGAGCACAAAGATGCCTCTCAAAATATTTTTATTAACTATGTGGCTATAATAATACGATTTTATTATAATTTAAATTTAAAAAATTTTCTAACATAAAGTTAGAACATTGCCAGCTGTTTAAAAATATGTATTCAACAAAAAACTGAAAAAGTTGTAAACAAGTTGATATGATAAAGCTAGAAATGGAAGTCAGTATAAAGATTTTGAACAAAGTTACAGCTGTTAATAATTTTTTTAAGAAAATGACGAATGATCGTTATACAGAAAACAAACTGAAGTGCTTAAAATTTACAGTTGAACATTATTTTAAGTAGGGTTGCCAGCTGTTTTTTCACAATTAAATTAATTAAGTTCGCGAAATACACGATATTATGATCATTAAAATAATTTTTAGTTTTGAGGAAATAAAAAAGGTAAATACCATACATGGTTGCCACTTTTTTGCAAGTATTAAGGTAAAAAACCGCTACTAACAATATGTGGGACAAACTTAATGAATTTAATAAAAAGCATAGAGTTGAAGGTTGCCACTTGTTGAATTTTTTAAACCATTAAATTAATGGCATTAATTTTAAGAAGAAACGCCATTTCTTTGAAAATAATAAAAAATATAAAAAAGTACAAATAGCAATTTGAATGTCAAACTTAATGCATAATCTTATAAAATTGATTAGAGTTGCATATTTTTTTGGCAAAAGGTTGCCACTTGTTGAATTTTGTATTTCATTCAATTTAAGAAATAAAATAAAAATTACAATAAAAAACTAAAAATGTTGAAGAGAAATTTCGGCTTGTGAGTTTTTTTTTATAAGGTTGCCACCTTAAATTGTTAAAATATCATTGGTATTGCAATATTGGTATCACATCAAAGGCATTTGAGCAACCATCTGTTTATAGTAGATATATAGAAAAATTTTTTTAGAACAATTAAATATCCACAAATTCATTAAAATACATTAATTTACACTCAATGAGTAACTCTGTTAGAGAGACTCAATGATAACTCCATCAATGGAGATTTTTAATTTTTCATACATTTTAGAGTGGGTTACCATATTCGCACATAAAGTTATTGTGACACCATTTTTATGACCACCAGTGTACTAATGTCTACTATTGTAAATTCGTTTATGTAAGTAATTGAAAATATTTCAAAATTGAGCACGGGAACGCAAAAGAAGCATGTCAAAAGTAAGGTTATGTTGAGAGTACAAGTACACACACGCACACAAGTAGATTTCAAAAATTTTACTTTGGTTAACTTTTGTATATATTTATATTAAAAAATATATATATGGTATTAAGTATGTTGGTTATATAAATCGACGTAGTTTACACATTAGCAAGCGTGAAAATTGCACAACAGGTTTAGAAATAATATTAGTTATTATTTGTTCGCTGCAAATACGCACACACACACACACACACGCACGCGTATTTTAATACACACAAGCGGCAGCATTTATTGGGTATTAATTAGTGTTTAAGCACTTTTTGTGGTCAGTTTGGTAACTAGGCATCTACAAATAGCTTGTTTTTGTTGTTGTAAGTTAAATATTTTACTTTTTTTTACTAAAAGCGTGCAATGCGCATTAATTTCCTTCGACTGTGTGGGTGTATGTGCGCGCGTGTGTTAGCTTTGTACGATTTCGTTTGGACTAGTATGTATGTTTGGACACATATACATATGCATAATTAATTCTGTGGTTGCGGTTGCATAATAATTGCACTTAATTTGCGAGTAATAATTTTATTTTCGCTTATTTTTCATATAAAATTGCAAAGCCGTGGCATAATTTGATTAAGGAAATTGCTATTTGTTTGTTGGCATACTTGTTTTTTTTTTAGCAGTTCTACTTACTATTCGGGTCGCGCTTCTCACAAACCACTTTACCATCGGGCCCTAAATGAGAATATGTATAGACTATATAGGCTCGTGTTGTTTGAATTTAATTTTGTTAATGTTTAAATTAATTATAAATCTGCGTTAAGTCAATTAAGTACATAAAATTTCAATTGAAATATGAATATGATTTATGTGCTGTATTTTTAATGATTTTTTTGAAAAATTATTTCGTTCGAATGAAATTTATGCTAGGCGTTTTAATATTTAATTTTTTTTTTTGTGTTATTTCTTTTTTTAAGTTTTTAATTTTATTTTCAATTATTTGTAATAATTTTTAATTAAATATTTTTTTCGTAATTAATTTTAAGCTTTATTCTTTGCTTCTAGTTCAATTGCTATTGCATACATTTTGGCGTGGGTTAGTAATCGAATTATGGAAAGTTAGTGCGCTGCTATTTTAATCCAATTAACTATACAATATACGTTTTTAAATTAATAAGTACTATAAACAAGCGCAAAACTGCCAGCAAATTGTACATGACACCTACCTTCTTGCACTTCAATGCCCTCGGCCTTCAAGAGATCGCGCAACTTCTGTATCTCCTCCTTGAGCTCACGTATAAGTTTGGCGTTGGCGTCCTCGTTGACGATGGCCTTGCAAACGATCTGTTTGGCGCGATCGGCATAACTGCAGAAAGCAAGTAAAGAAATTAATAAATATTGTCAAAAAAAAGTAGTTTTTAAAATATCAAATAGTTTGTCTTTGAAGAATTTTAGGTTTGTAACCAATAAAAGGAAACGTGTTTCAAATTTTCGAAAAAAAAGACGCAGCTACTGCTTGCTTTTATTGTTGGTTTGACGGGTACAGTAACCCAGAAACAGAGTGACGGAATTGAACCAAAGAGAAAAAGAAAAGGAGGTAAGGGAGTAGCCGTTACAGTGGCTGTAAAACCGTATGTAACCCTCTTGAACCTATTTAATAAGTCTAGTCTTGTCCTACTTGGACCAAATCTTCTTCGTTATCTTGCAGTTGATTAATGATTTCCATCTATTCTGAGCTCTTTATTCAAAATGAGTATAAAGTTATTTCTTGATCGTTTCCAGCGGGCATAATATTAACTCCGCCTCGGATTCGTCTAAATAGGGTCCAGCTTGGCCAACTCGTCTGCTTCTTTGGTGCCGAAAATGTTCTTACGACCGGGAACGCAAATTAATGACAAGTGAGCTTAAAGCTTTTCTGCAATTGTTGACTACGCTGGAATTAAACTTTGGCGTCGACAAGACCAGCATTGCCGATTGGCTATCCGTGTGTATGGTAGGGCTGAGGTTTAAACACGTGACTCGTTGAAAGTAAGCCATGATATGTAATTTCACAAAGTGTTGTACGGTCAGAATTTCTCTCGTCTCACTAAAACTTCTAGTAAAAGAAGATATATCCAGTGATATGACTGCCCTTTGTTCTCCATTTTCCCAAAATTTATTATTTTCCACAGTTCGTGTATTTTAGACACAGTTTAATAATCGAAGTGGCATAATTAGTAATATGTCAATAGATTAAAAAAGTTTTGACTTCCTGGAAAAAAAATTGTATTTCACCCTTGTTCAAGCTATATGAATTCGGCGCTGCACCTAAGAAGTGTAAACCTTTACATAACTTAACTCAGCGAATTTTTCGAGTCGGATTACAGAAAGGAACTTAAGAGCTCATTCAAAATTACTAACAGCAGAGAACAGGTTGTAGGTCTACAGATGATCCATTCATTTCGTTCTGTTTTAGTGATTTATCGATTGCAAAAAACTCCTCGCTTGTTCTTCAAGCTTATGATTGAGGTTAGAAACTTTTTAGAGTTATCATTAATATCATTGATCTCATGCTCCTATTATTTTTTAACAGTTGCCTAATTGATTTAGAGTCTGAATAATTAATTTATAATAGAATATTGAACGACAGAAAAATTTGCCAAAAGACGAGGCTTAGTATTATATCCTGAATAGGGTACAACCGAAGTTAACGTTTTTGTTTTTTGGTTTTGAAACAATTTCTAATTATATCAGCTAAGTTTTCTCATAATAATTATTCAACATTTTCAGATACTTACCGCAATGTGCTCAATGTTTCGTCGTAATTAATATCTGCTGGGGAAATGGCGGCAATCATAGCGGTCTTAGAGTTGCCACCTAGATTTTCGCGCAACAGCCAGGTTAAAACGGAGTCGCGGTATGGTATAAAATCGGCTTTCTTTGATTTCTTGTTTTTAGAAGCCTATAATTCGACCGTAATAAAGCAGATTAAAATAAAACCATATATGCTGGTAAAAAGCTACACAGTGGAAAATTGTATGACTCAAATAGTTAAATGAATATTTATGATGTTATAATGGCTTTTTGCACTTTTTGCAATATTATTATGGCTTATAAATAAAAATTTTACAAATATTATAATATTTATTTAAAATTTATTATATTATATTTTTGTAAACATTTAAATAAATAAATTTTCGCTATTCCAACCTCTAATTTTTTTCACTGTAAAATTAATTATTTCGCTTTAATTAAGATTAATACTTACAGACTGTTTTTATTTAATGTGAAATTGTTACAAAATTTTGAAAATTCACAATTGTTTTCAGTGTTCGAATTTCCAATATTCATTATTCAATTTTTTTTTTGTGCGAAATTGTTCAGCATTGGATGAATGAGAGATAAATAAGAGCAAAAAAGGCATGTGAATAGTAAAAGCTTCAAAAATTGCTGCTTTTTTAAACATATAAACCAATAAATTTCTGCTTTCATCTCAAAATTATTACTTACAATTTCGGCCAAGGCCGAGATAACTTTGCCGAGTGTTGTCAAAGATTTATTAATGTTAGCACCCTCCTTTAGACGTGTGCCTTTAGCGCCAGTCGAGTCCGCGCGTTCGGAACCAGCCAAATCGACCAAGCTAATTTTCGAAACCTTCTCGGTGGTCAGATCGGTCATATTGTCGTGACGACGTTGAGTAAAGAATATGGTGAAAACTGCATGTGAGCGAGAGCTGGTCTCATTCATGTTGGTAGCGGCCACAGTGCTGATAGAGAGAAGAGAGCATAAAAATAATAATAAAAATTAATTATGTATAATTTTTAATGGATTAAATGTCGTTAATAATTAGCGAGAATTATTAAATAATATATTTGTTGACATAAAAAATAAAACACTTAATTGCAATTGTATCTCTCACTTGGCTTCAATTAAGAGACGTTGCAAGACGATTTTTTATTTCATAAATGCTACTTGAACGCTACAAAAATAAGTCGTTTTTGCATCGGAGTTTAACTGGTGAACCCTGAATGCAAAAAGTCATATGTGAAACCTGGTCAACCGGTCAAATCAAGGGCAAAGCCTAATATTCACGACGCTAAGGTGATGATTTTTGTTTGGTGGCATCTAAAACTGTGTGACACCATTACTCGGAAACGCTATCGACAACAACTCAACAAATTGAAGTGAGTGGTTGCCGAAAAACACAAAGAATTGGCGATTAGACACGACAATGCAAAACCTCGGGTCATAAGATCGTTTAAATATTTAGGAAAAAGCGGCTAGGAAGTTTTGCCGCATATGGTATTTATCTTAACCCTTCTGACTACCATTAGTTCCGGTCGATGCAGAAGGCACTCACCAGAATACAGGTCACATCAGAACGGGATATCTAAAATTAGCATTGCTGCGAGGGATGCTATCAGACTCCGTGAAACCGGACACATCAACATGCCCATAAAGGGACATTCTGAAATCTTCTCTCACCTTGACTGCATCCCTGATAACTTAGACCACTTCGTTGCGGAGCCTACTCCTAATGGCATCTTCCTCGGCAACTATAGCATATACAATAGCTACCATGCAAACTGAACGATTAATATCAAGATGAAGACCTTTTTATAACCTTTTAATGCCGCCGAAGTCAACGTTTTTCTGGTTTTTATTTTAATTTTTAAAAACTGATGGTTTTATATACAATACTAGCTAGCTTTGATTTCCTACTAAAAAATTTAAAACTAGCAATGCCCCAACCTCATTAATAATTTTATTATATTTATTTAATTATTTTCTTTATTCTTTATGGCACTCTCCTAATGACTTGAAATAAGTTAGCGTATTTTCATTAAAAAAAAACATATTAATTTAATAAATAAAAATAGAAAATCTCATTTATTTATTCATCAACATTTGCCTACCGCGCTTTGTTGCCCTCATCGATGAGATCGTGTATGTCCTGATAGTCGGTGACGGCCAACTTGGATAAATCCTCCACATATGGACCAAGCAATGGATGCTCACGTACACGCAAGTTGCCTTTGTTCTTCGGATTTAATAAATCGCGTACACGTTCGCAATAGATTTCCATATATGAAACCTCAACCTGAATGCGCGCAAAGAAATCAAGATAAATAAGTAAAGAGCAATACAACAGCATAGTATAATAGAGAAAATTGTAATAAATGAGGGCGTATGCATCAGTATGCCAAGCGACAACATGAGCGCTAGCAATATTTACATGAGTGTTGCAAGCATTCGCAATATTGTAAATTCGTTTTATAGTGTCGCTTTTATATGCATAAACTATGCGCATAAATCCGTTTTCACACACACGCGCGCACACACACTTACCGCTACTGAGACAACTGTCAGCACTTGCATTCTAAAGCGACAACACATTCACAACCAAATGCACAACCATCCACTCGTCTCCTCGTCACACTTTTCTCCACACGTTTTATTTGTGATTTTTCTTTCTCATTCGCTGCACTTCACTTCTCATCACATTTCACCTCACTATACTTTATTACTTTTCGCTTCACAACATTTGTTTGCTTCTCAAGTCGTTGCAGTGCCCTCAACTTACCGAATACTTGAGTTCGTTTGTTTCCGTGTCATGTATACGATTGAAGAGATCCTTACAAATCATCGGTATAATGCCCTCCTGATGCTCCTCCTGCTTGCCCATCATTGTGTATGATTTGCCGGCACCGGTTTGACCGTAGGCGAATATGCATACATTGTAGCCGTCGAAGGAGTGCTGCAACATCTCCTCGCCGATGTCCTTGTAGACCATTTCTTGAGTGGAGAATTCGGGATCCCGTGGCTGTGGCAAAAGTTTGTTAAAGGAAAGTGTGACAAAAAAATGCAATTAAAAAGTATTTTCATTTGATTAATTATCAAGTACAAGTGTTTTAAATGCATTGTGAGTAGGAAACTTTGTTAAGTGCAAGCCTTGTTTCTTTGTACAGTGTTCTTTTTTGGTATTTGCTGCAGATGTACTTACATCATGTGACCAATAGGAATAATCGAAATTGAAGCTTTTGATGGCTTCGCTGCTGTTTAGTGGTACTTTGGGATTTGTGATAGCTGCAAGGAAGGAAATAATATATGATACAGTTATTATAACTTTCCATAATAACTTTTTTTTTATTTTATGCTCGAAAATCAGTCAGAATATTGAATAAGAAAAAAATTTGAAAAATGGCTTGGAACCGAGAATACATATACTATATATATTTTATATTTAAACCGATAGAGACGTTATAAAACAATTTCAAACGTTTTCGATGTAAGTTGTCAAAGGTCAGTGGTGGAAATCGAAATAACTTTCTTTGAAAAGTAGGATTGTTGTCTCATGGTTGCCATTTCCAAATTGTATAAGAAAAGCTTAATGTGAACAACATTTGGAGGAAATTGCTCAAATTGTTTTTTAGATACGATTCTAGCTTGATGTGAACTTCACCATGTCCATAGTTTAATTTTTAAAATCACTCTTTTGAAGCAGTAATACATACCATATATAGGAATAAGATCTGATGGTTATGAATATATTAACCCTTCTAGATAGCTTGACCGCTTTATGAAAGCAGCGATTAGGTGCACTGCCCAAACATTTCGTTTCGCTGTCCGATGAAGTGTTACAAAGAAAGAGCTCAAAGTAGTGTTTGCCTTCTAGTTTCTTGAGTTACTCGGTTCAGTCCTTTTACAGCTGGTTTCCGAAACTAATTATTTACTATCTCTGAAACTATAACCATTATGCGCTTTTAGAAATAGTGGACCCTGACAAGCATTTTGCTACCTGCGAACCCAAGAGAACTGTGATCTGCTATTACAGTGGGTGCAGGAAAAATGAAGCCATTATGAAGACTTCATAGAGCTTTTTTAAATTCTGCACTTGAAAGTAATGGTATATAAAGCGAAATTAGCATTAGCTTGGGGTTAGGTTTGATAGCTGATCCAGAGATCGCACTACCGTATGCAGTTTTTTGTGAAGCCATAACAATAGAACTGCTGTATACGATTTTATAAGTCTTATAAGTGAGTATAGCGCCAAGTGCCCAATACAAATTTGCATAAGCGTTTAATTTCTATTACCAAACAGTTCGGTGGGCTGTCTAAAAGTATGAGCTTTTAAGTTTTTAAGCCTTGATCACGCAAACGCGGGACAATCGAGAAGGACGTGTTGAGATATTTGCACCTCGTCTTTTTTCATACAGCTTCTACAGCTGGCGTGCGGTAAGATTTCCAACCTTACAGCATGGATGTCGATAGAGCAATGGCCTGTTAGAAGCCTTAAAAGTAGAAAGTGTCTAGTCTTACCATGGTCAAAGAGCTCACTAGACCTCTTAATATCGATCTTCCGCCAAAAGGAGCTTGCGACAGCTCATGCACCGATGGTAACCCAGCTCCCAAGCTCCCACGAAGCCCAGTTATATAGTAGTAGAACCCACGAGGAGAGGGAAGCACCGGTAGTGGCGCTCGGGTACCTTACCTTGCCAGCTCATCAACTTAACAGTCGCCTGTGATTCCGCCTTAAGGCTTGTACTTTGAGGACAATTATGTGAAGTGTTCTGTTTTAGCCTTTCGGGGATTCAATCTTACAATGCTGTTTTCAGTGGAATAGTTTTTAAATGATAACATTTGAGTAAACATGTAGTTTTGACAACTCTGAGCACCTAATCTTCTTTATTTTCTTTCTACTATTTAACTAACCCTAGCTAAGTGATTATAATTATATATTTATATATAAATATATATATTGTTATACTCACCAGTGGTTGCACCGCTCATTTGAATTATACATTTTGATTCTCGACCGATTTCACGCGAATTAAAGGGTCGCACTCGAACCGCCACCTTAACGGATGACATTTTGGCGATGAGAGAGGCCCAAAGGCCTTAATAACGCACTAGAAGCTGCAAGTAAATAAAGTAGAATCTATTTTAAGTAAGTAATTATTAAGTTTTTTGGTGTATGGGTATAATGGTTTTTATAAATTTGAAAATAACGAATTATTTTTCGATAATTCTAAAACCAAAAATCAAGCAGTGTTAAGATATCATTATAAATTTAAAAAATAACGATATTCGAGAAATTCTAAATTGAGCACCTTTCTTTTTAAAGTTTGCCATTTATGCGCACAAGTTTCTAAAAGTTTTGAAAAAATAGAATCGAAGAAAATTCGAAACAACTTCAATTAACTTTCTTATTGTTCTATACCAAAACATAACGGCTCTGAAAGAGATGCTGTGCTAGTCATATACGCTAAAAAAATAAATAAATTTTTGAATATAAAAATGTTTAGTTACTTGCTAAAGAAATAGCTGTCAAAGCAGCTGTGAAACTAAATACTTGTCTTAGATATTATATTTATGTGCTTTGATAGACGAACCAAATCTAGTAATGGGTTTATCAATGGACACCTAGGTTTTAACTCCGTTACTGACCATTTCATTACATACTTTTTTGGGAAAAATAATTAAAATAAGGTTTTGTAAAATGAAAACCATTATTTTTTCTATAGCTAATTTTAGTAGTATGTATCTCGCGTTTGATAAGTGTGATTGGGTTACACTATATGGCGTTAGAAAGTCATAGGCTAGGATAGGTTATATTGTCTGGCTGTCACGCCATACATAACCCTACTGGTCCTTGGTAATCAAATGGAGGCTCAGTTTAATTTATGTTGAAGTATACGTCACAAAGGATGTCAACGCTTTTTGCGAACTTTAAGAGCGACTTGATATCTAATTTTGATTCTTCATCTAGTCCCTTGAACTGCGAAGCTCCTATATATTTAATACAAGTTTTAGATAATGCTAGACAGAGGTAAAGAAGGTATTCCGACGTCTATCTTATGCGTACTTCTCTACGCTTTCTGCATGTGTCGTCGCTACTTATGGTATGCCCATCCGGCTCGCATGTGCTGCCAGTAGGTTGTGACGCAGTCCTTTCAAGACCGTGTGAGTAAAACACATGCGAGTTTTCTTCGGAGCTCTTGCACAGGATCTACATGTTCTTAAGGCATTTCTTCTCGCCTTGATCCGTCTGCCAGTTCTTTCAAAGAAATCTTATTGTATGTCTTTTTTTGTGACTTCTGTATTTCTTGTGCTGGTTTGGAGCACAGAGAACCACGCTCTGGATGGTCAATTTCCACCTACGAATTGCTGCTGTATCACAGCAAAATCGAAACATTTCTGTAGCGAATGTTTATTACTGGAAAAGGTTGGGTCATTTACGACAACATAGTGGTCGAATCGCGGTGAGTGGGTCTGGCCAAGTCAGGATGGACGGTCAGGTAGGTTTTGCTATTTGTTTGGCGGTATAGGCAGGAAATCACTTTGGAAGTTTGGTTTTAAATTTCTTATATAATTCATAGTCCGAAGCTGGCAACAAGTATTTACTACATATTCCTGTCTATCGCGAGTGTTTGGCTGTTGAAAAATTCTTCTCAAGACAACCTTGCGGCAATCGACTATCCCAGTTTTTCGGCAATTAAGACGAGGAGTTTTATTAGTGTGATATTAGGAAATTACTTAAAAAAGGCAACAATTTATCGAATAAAAGGGTGCATATCTGATCTAAATCGGCGCATTCTAGCTGTGCAAAATAAAATCTTCAATTTAATGTAAAAATAGAGGATTTATAAAGGATATATTTTTACTCGATGTTTTTGTTGTTGTTGTAGCGGCAGAATTCCACCGAATTGACAGTCCTTGGCCGGATACAAATTCGGATTCGTTCTGGTTACGTAGACCCGACTGTCGTGGGAGTGGATTTTTTTTTACTGGATCTTATATAACGGTTATACTTAAAACATAAATTTATTTTTTAAATAAAAAGTTACACTAAGGAGGCTTAAAGCGTATATAACGGTTATATTTAAAACAGAAATCTATTTTTAGAATAAAAAATGCATTTAAGCTGGCTTAAAGCTTGAGCTAACATTAGCACCATAGCAGGAGAGGTATACGCGGCACACATTTTCGAATATAGCATATTTTCAGGTGCATATAGCAACACAAACATAAACATATTAATATCTGTAAGTAGCGTCATTGCGCAACTAAAGTTGCCAATTAATGCCGCTTCAACAAAATGTCAAAATATACACATACACACACTCATAAATCATTGTGGGAATAAGAAAACGCTTAGCAATAATAAAATTAGCTGCTTAGTGACGTTGAAGTGAGCGAAGTTTTTCGCCACTACTGTTTCTAGTTATGTAGCAAATGTGCGTTAGATGTCAAACTAACGGCACATATATACCGAAAGGTATAAGAGAGTGGTTGGGAGAGCGTTGAAAAGTTGCGGAAAAGAAATTCGTAACAACTCGCGCATAATTACCACATTAATTTGTTTATTACGCTGAGCACCTGCATTATGGCATATACATACTATGTATGTGTGAGCTTATACGAGAATGTGTATCTTTTGTTTGTATGCGTAAAAAGGAAAAAGTCAGAAAAGTTGCCACAAAGTAGCTAAGTTCTACTTTAATGAATGCCAACCCACACACAAGACGCACATACAAACACAAAACCGGCACAAACACATATTTACAATATATGTGTATACATCTGTGGCAACACTGGCACATTAGCGCTTACGTAAATCCGCTCATAAATTGGCAAAGCAACTTTTGTGCCTTCGCATTTGTTTCACGCGCGCAGAAAAGCTTCTTTTTATGCATATATACATATATATGTTTGTATGTGCACTTCACTCCAGCTGTGCGCTACTCGAGTGTGCTCAGCGCTGGGTCGCCACGTCGTATGAGCAACAATAGAAGCCAAGGCGCGTAATAGCAACAGCAAATGCGTGCAACATTTATATAAAATATATATGTATATACAAATGGTAAAATGTAAGCATATATACATACACACACACACACACACACACAAACACTTGCGCACACGCTTTGAGTGCGCGTTGTCGCAGCCACTTATTATTTACATTTAAATTTCATTATTTGTAATTTTCCAAAACAAAGCGCCGTAACGGCAAAATAACGCATATACAACAACAGTAACAACAACAACAAGGAGGAAAGAAAGCAACGCGCAATTTGTTGACTCGCTTTGAGCAGCAAATTTGTTGTTGTAAAGGTTTTTGTTCGCTGACGACTTTATGTTGGGGTTGTTTTCTTCGCCTCACTGTTGTTGTAAGCAACAAAAAATGTAATTTCAGCAAATTCATAGGTATGTTTTAATTAAATTGATGGTGTGGCGTGGTCGCCAACTCCTGTGGTGCTTCGCCGTACGCTACGCCTGAGCGTTCTTCATAATTTAAAATGCTTTGAGTGAGGTCATAAAAAGCGAAGAGAAGTTTACAGGTGGTGCTGCATGTGAGTTAGTGTAAATAAGTGTAAATAGTGTGTGTGTGTGTAATTTATGTGTAAAAAATATAAAAAGTAATATTTTAATGCAAAAAGTTTACAATTTTCCACCACATCGTTAGTTTTTACAGCTTTTAAATTAAGGTAATAGTTTCAAGATAATTTACAGCAAATTAATGAAAGCGCTTAGAGAAAGTCACAGAAAATTATTTGGAAATGTAAAAATATTATTACAATTTTTGAAAATCACCTGGTCATATAATGACTTTTTTTATATATTATCTAATAACTAGAAGAAATTGTAAACTTAAGTTATAGATATTGCAAAGTCAGAGGTTCTGGCTAGTTTTTGGTAAAACTAAATTTTAATTTTCGTTGCAGCAAAGCTAGAATACACAACACAAATAGCGAAGTTTCCATACAAGAACTGGATTTCGATCGTTCAGTTTGTATGGCAGCTATATACTACAGTGATCGAATAACGGCGGTTCCGACAAATGAGCAGCTTCTTGGGGAGGCAGACGAACAACAAGCAGAGAGACATGGCTAAATCCACTCAGCTCGACATGCTGATCACTTATATATATGTATATGGTATTTTATAGGGTCTCCGACGTTTTCCTCTAGGTGTTACAAACTTCGTAACAAACTTAGTATACCCGTTCAGGGTATTTCGTAAATATATAGCTGTACTTTTCCAGTTCAATGGTAAATACTTTCTCACGCAACTTAGTTCCGACTTCCGCAGAAGAAGTTGAAAAGAAACAAATTTGCAACCCCCAAACCGAGAATGACTCATTTTGTGGCATCAACAGAGCAAAGAAAACAAAACAGTAAAGTTTACGCGATTTTCTTTGCTATTTGCGTTGGCTCTTTTATAGTAACTATTTTATTCTGTCATATAACAACTAATGCCAGCATTGGTTAGCTCATACCAACGGCTTTCCGTTATTCATGCTCTTTTCACAGTTAACTCGGTGGCCAAGTTTTACAGTTATTATTCCGCTTTTTTCGCATTTTTATGAGCACATGAGGCGGGACAGTATTTTATGGCCCAGAGACTCGACAGCGCCACATGCGACTGCCGCCAACCGAAATACACACACACACTCAGTTAAAGCGCGTAACACACACATGCACGCTGACTTTTAACTTCCTCATTTTCCGTTATAAGGCAGCAACCAACAGCGACTGTCATAAATTTGAAACAAATATTAGTTAATGTTTGTTGTTATTGTTTGCTGTTGACTGTCGTTATATGGCGTTCGCCATTTTCTGTCGGCTCCACTTGCCGCACGGTGGCATAATGTCTGCTCTTGGCTGCTTTCTGCTTTATGCCTGCTTGCTGACTGATGACTCATGTAAATTGGCAATAAATGCGACAATTTACTTTGGACTTTTCTCGTCTGCTGCTTCTTCTTCAACTTCTGCTTTATAAGGCGCTTTTGCTCTTGAGCTTATTTGTAATTAAATTTCCGTTTTATATTTTGTAGTAAATGCGGTTAGGCGAAAAGTTTATAGTCGTTAGGTGAGACTGTTTATAAATAAGTTTCTGTGAATGAGGAAGTTAACGGTAAATTGTGTACATAAGTAGATTTCCAAACTACTTTATAAGCACATTGTATGTTGTTGTAGAAATATTAAGTTGTCTAAAAATAAATAAAATTAAATAGTTGTAGAGCAATTACCCTGAAAAACTTAAACGATACTTCAACAAATGAGAATATTTTCTAACTATATTTAATTGAACAATGCCTATAAGTAGGCAAAAAAATTTTTTTATTGAAATTATGCCTTTTAACGTTTAGACCACATATACTATTCTAAGTGCTTTTATAAGCTGAGCTTGATCATCTCACTTTTCCACTTTTTTCCCTTGGTTCTTGCAAAAAATTCACAACCAAATTCTAAAAGTCTTGAAGTATTTAGCTGAAGTAATGAAACTTAAAGGTAGCAGTAGAATGTGGATATATGAGCTTTCATAAAAGGCGAAAAAGGCTAACGATCTAAAAGTCTTGAAGTATTTAGTTGAAGTAATGAAACTTAAAGGTAGCAGTAGAATGTGGATTTATGAGCTTTCATAGAAGGCGAAAAAGGCTAACAAGCTTTTTGAGCTTTATTCCATCAAACTCAGACTGGTACTAACTTTGCTCATAAAATAAAATTTGCAAAAAAGAAAGTGAGAGGCTTATAAAAACGGAATTTTATCAAAGACGTAAAGATTATTTAAAATGGCAGCAAAAACCTCAAAAGCTTTTTGTAGGATTTTATTTAGATTTGATCACTTACAAGGATTCAAGGTCAAACGGATGTATTTCAAAAAGATTCTGACACATTTTCAAACACGCCCTTAATATGATTGACTGGAACGATTGTATAAAGGAAGACCTAATATAACCAGAATGATCACCTGAAGTTGTTTCTGACATTGAAAAAGTTGTTGCTTGAAAATCTGTGTTTCCTGCAGTTTATTGATAAGGTATCTGCTAGGAGAACTGGCAAATACTTTTAGAGATATGGGCGTATTTGTAACAATTTTTTAACTTAGTGTATTCGACAAAAATTTGGACGCGACCTCCACCGATTCGAAATTTTGGTGAAAAGTTTCGACTTATCATAAAACGAAGTCCTGCCAAAGTAAAAAGAAGTATAATAAGACTACACAATTTTCCCGTAATGGTTACTTGTTATGATTTTAAAAAATTCGAAATTTTTTTTAATTTTGATAATTGTCAAACTTTTTTTTATATTTTTTTTAGTACCTCTTTATTTAATATACAATAGTTTCTCAAATATTAAATAAATAAACTCATAAAATCGGAAAAACAGTGAAATTTTCAATTTTGCATAGCTCTTAGGAAAATTTTTATCCTTTGTCAGAGCTTCGACAAAGCAAAGAGCTTCGACAAGACAAAACTTTACACCAAAATTCATTTGAATCGGTGGAGGTCGCGTCCAAATATTTGTTGATTTGACATGGATGACCCCTATAGTAATAACAATTTTTTTCGTTTCTGAATTTGAGTTAGTTGTGAACAGAAAAATCTTGCTCATCGCCAGACACCTTTTTTTTGAGGTTCTCCTGGTGAGCGACTACGAGATCAAGAGCATATAAAGTTTTTCAAAAAGAATCGTCGTGTATTAAAGCACATTATATTCTGTAAATGTACCCTCTTTTATTAATATATTAAATTAAATCTCTTTTACCTGGCTTACAAGTGGCTATAACCCCTTAAAGTCTATATTGTCGACTATTAATATTGTGACGAACATAGGAATCGAACCGGCGATGAATTGCCAAAAGCAAGCAGACAGCGAATTAGTAGTTGCCAAAATGTTCTAGAGGTGAGGTTTTATTAAAGATGTACTACAAGTATATAACGAATATAGATAAAAAGTTAACATTGTTGTTGTTTTTTTTTTAATAATTCATTTTTTAAAAAATCAGCAGCACAAATCACTAACTTCACTTCAGGAAGTACTCTGATATTATTACTATCACTTTCGAACATTTCTAAATTAAATTCTTTCACTTAGTAAAAGTTGCCAACTGAACATATACAAGCAAATGTTATCTTTTATCTGACATTTCAATTGTGCGCACATGGCGTTATTCAATATTTGAGAAGGCAACTTCAACACAATTGGTGAAAGAACAATAGAGCATTCTTTGGCTGATTAGAAAGCGTTTTCTGAACAAAAGTTACAACAAAAACACAAAGCGCAGTAGTTCTGTAGAATGCAAGTGTGGGTGTGTATTTGGACATTTGTTTGTGAAACGAAAGAGGCACACTCTTTTATATCCTCGGAGCAGCTCTCGGAGAATACTAACAATATCGAATATAGCGTAGAGTATAGCGATAAAAGTAGTCGAAACGGGAAAAGGAGGTGTTAAGACTACTAATATAAGACACTCTCTTATATACCATGCATAAACATATAGTACTCGTATATAGTTTTATGAATGTTTGGGTATTGGTGGGTATAGTGCGGTAGTGGCAACGCCACACTCGAATTGTATAATATCAATGGGAAGACATAACAAAAACAATAGTTTTCAACGCTAACCACCACCAGCAGTTGATGAAGAGCGATAAAACTACTGCCAAAGCAAGTGGCACAAAACTATGCCATATAAACACTAAAGGTATTCGAAAGGCTGTGTGTGTAGTTATGTATGTGTATGTTAAGTTTTTGTATGACTCATGGCAGCGAATTGAAGGGAATCCCTTCAAGGCGCACACCCTCATCCGTGAATGTATTGCTTTGCGTTATGCGCTCATTGATGATAGCTAGCATAAAATTGTCGAATGTGCGTAAGAAAATTGCTAAATATTTTTTTTAAGAAAATGCATATAAAAACTTGTTTAAATATGTATGAGACGTCTTCGCAAGTCTATTTTCAAATCACTTTGTTTGAATTCTGTTATATTGTTACAGTTGCGTGTTCGATTTGCCACATTAAGCGAGTGACGAAAAAATATTATTTAAATATACTACATAATATTTTCATATCAATTATGTATACACAACAGCGTAGATATTTAAAGGGGTCTGTTAGTTGGAAGACAGTCAAAAATTTACTTCGTTCTTTGAAATAGATGAAGACTCTTAGATGCTAAGAAAGCAATCCCTTACCTTACCTTAATTTTGAAAACTTAAGAAAATTAGGTTTTCCAAACTTGTAGTACCGTTAAGATTAACAGAGGCAAATATGGTATATGACATTTACAAAGTACTAGAATCAACAGCGAGTCGTTTCAACTTGCAATAACAAATAATCGAATTGTCGATTAACGAAAGTTCAGACTTCTTCAAACATTCGGAAAGAAGGATTTCCCCACAACCAATTTAAAAATATACAAAAATAGAATCTAAAAGTTCCAACAAAATTTGGGACAAACCATAAGGTCCTTAGGGCATAAATTTTAAAATCAGTTTACAAATCGGTTTAGTATTCTTGTAGCTTTCTGGACCAAGCTGATATACTATTTGCGACTGTATAGGTTTTTGTAAAATGTCAGTTAAAATTTCATTGTTTTATACACATTCTTTCCTGAAAACAGTCTACTAACGTTTCGGTACATCTCTCTCGCTTTATAAAAATACAAATGTCAAATTAAGTTCTTTATGAGTGGATAGTATTGCAGTTTAAAGAATAGACTAAGAAGCGATCTTAATGCTGAAAATCGTGAGAGCAACTCAAGAGTTTACAGCAGATCGACTTTTTATTCTGGAACCAGTCAAACATACTTTTCACTTTTTTTTACTTTTGTAGCAACAAATTTTGGAAACGCATTTTTGTGAAATATAGAAGCACAGACAAGAAAAATAACGCACTGGTGTAGTACTAGTTAGAGGAGGGGTAGAGGTACATAGCTTCTAATACTATTCCGGTAAACATAACTGGTTTTTTTTAATGTTGGTGGCTCCTCGGCAGCTGAGAAGGCTTTTCATGAAACTCTTAACTATTCGGGGGTGCTTTAAACTTGTAGCATTCTCTACTTTTCGAATAAAATAAAGGGACACAGTGAACTATGGGGAGAAAATCTACTAAGTATCCAGCAGTGCTGCTATAATTGGTGTCTAAATCTATAAAAACTAGACTTTATTCTTTATTGAAAGTGACTTTAAATAAAAACAAATGAGGAAATGAATATTTCTAAAAGCTAAACGTGGAGCTGATAATCGTAACGCACTGTTTCTTATTGTCGACATCATCTTGTTGTCCAAGTCTTAAAAGCAAACAAATCAAACCAATCAACTAACAAAATTTCCGGAAGAGAATTACACTGTTTTCCATTATCATTTTATGTACAACATTTACCTTTAAAACTTTTTCTTCCGCTTCGGTATGCTGCTTCAAAACAGCATGCAAGTTTAATCCAATAGTGTAGATATTGCAAATTTCATATTTTTAAGCACTTTTACTTTAATAATAGATTTTATTTTAATAAAAATAATTTATGCTCGAAATTTTCGTTTACTCGTATGTTCGTAGTAGTTAAAACAGTTGCTAAAAGCAGTCGTGCGTTCCACGAGCTAACAGTATTCACTGAGCTGAAATTTTCAAGAAACATAAATTAATGCCTGTTTCATAGACATTTTAGAAAACTACTTGAGTTCTTTAAAAATATTTTGCACATTTCACAAATGCTATTGCGAAAATCACGAACAAATAACTTTTCCGATTTTTAACACTAATATTTTTTGAGTTATGCATAACATGTTTCTTAAGAAAATTTAGTGTTGTTGATTTACTGTATTTTATATAAACACTTACAATACATTATTTGAATTTTTTTTTTCAATAACAAAAAAAAAAAAACATTTTTTCAAGTTTCAATTTTTTTATATATAAAATTTTTATTTTTAATATATTTTTTTTCACTTGTATTTGCTTTTCACTTTGCGTCAACCGCATGCACTGACCGTAAGCACTAAACCGTTATAACGATTTGTCACTTAAACGCTCGTCATAAAACAAACTAGCCGAAGCACAAGTAGTCCTTTCGTACACTAGCGTTCGTAAATGCTAATTGCAATGCGCCTTCGATAGCAAACAGACTCACTGAGTGCTGGAAAGTCAAATAAAATTATTGAGCGAAAACTTGGTGGGAGAAACAAAAAAACTGAGTATGAAATTCAGAGCGAGAGAGCGAGAGGCAGCGAAGTATTTAAAAATGAGTAAAATAGGACACTAAGCAGGTAGAATGTAATGGAAGTATAAAATGAGAGTCTACAAATGAGAGCGCGCTTATATTATTCATAAAAAATGTTTAGCCGTCAGAGCGAGTACGCACTATATACACATCACTTAAAACAACGTAGCGCTACACGAAAAACACTGCTGAAAATGCGTGAAATGCGCAAAATATTTTTCTTTCAAAATTCTTCTAGTTTATTGCGAACTTTCTATTTTAATAGTGATAAACATATAGTTTTTTGAGGTTATGTATTTATTTTTTATTTATGTTAGGTTGATTTAGAATATGTAATATTTGATATTAGTTGACGTGTAACGGTGTAAGCGCATGCACAAATCGATGGACCAGATGAGCGACGGCATAATCAAACGAAGAAGTTTTGATGAAAATAAAAAAATGTATTTAAAAGCAAAATATACAAAAAATTAATCAGAAATTAAATAAACTGAAAAAAATATTAAAAGGATGTTGGAGGATATGTAAATCATCGCATGACTACAAAGTTTTGTAATTTTTGGTATACAATTTCTGTTTTATAGACTGTTAACATTTTTTCGTTGATTGTATCATAAAAAATTTTATCGAACCTCTCTAAACAATATTACTTTTAACAAGTTCTAAGCCGAAGTTCCATTGAACCCAGACAAACCGGTAATTTTGGGAAAATAGACCCCCCTGATTCGATTTATAACTGACTTCAGAAGCTTTAGACTGTTTCGGCACATACCGATGATAGCCCCAATTAGAACGTACCCGTAAAAACATGTTTGTATACGAAAACTATAAACATCTTTAGGTGCATTGAAAGAAGAACCTCAGGCTATAAAGAATTTTTGACAGACCTGTCAGATAACACAAGAAAGAACTTTTAAGTTAAAGCTTTAAAAGAAAACAGTCTCTGAAAATGTGCACCGATTGTTTCTTTAAGCGTTGCCGAAAATATTAAAAATTGTAAGCTCGCAACGCAATCACCCTGACTGCTGTATTGTAGGTTACGTTTCAAGGACCAACAAATAAAATCTGTCATTACTTTTACAAGGTTTACCATAAAAAGTAATGTAAATATCCTCCCACGAACCACTCATGCTCAGATTTACGCTTGCACACCGAAAACTATATAAACAGCGCTGAAATGAAAATAGCGCAGCCTACCTTTAGGCGCTATTGCTGGTTTAGCCACAAATTTGCTGTCACTCACAGTGGTACAGCGTTTTGTACATACCGAAATTTACTACAAAGCGATTACTGAAAAAACCAGTGACTACACAAAAGCCTATTTATGTTTGTGTGTTTGTTGCCACGTAAGTGTGTGTATCTGCATATTTAGAGGTGTGTGTGTATATGTAGTCCAACTTTGTTTGCATTGTCATGACCTTTGCTAATAAATTTTCATGTTGGTAGCTTATATGTGCAGTTACTTGGAGTGTAAAATAAGTTGAGACTCAAGAAGAGTATAAAGCGAGCGCTGGCGCCTAATAGTAGGCAATGGATGTTGACTCAATTGTATTTGAGCACAAATATAATGTATTGAGTTGAAAAAAATTAAGCTTGGAGGTGAGTAACTATTTTGTGCTTAGATGGAGTATGCAAACGCCTAAAAATTTGCAGAGTATTTGTAAAATGTAGGGAGCAACCGAAAAGTATACAACATACATACGAATACGTGACACTATGTTTATAACTGATATATACATTTTCAGACTGTTTTAGTGTTACTTTTTTTTAAGAAGGCAACGAGTGATATTGTGGAAAATTTTTATAAGCGCGCCTCGAGGTAGGCAAAGCATTTTTTTATAACTATATAAGAAAAGCTGAAGGCATATAATTGCGTTGTATGAAAGTATTATGTGAGAACGTGGACTCTTTACGAATGCTAATGTATTAGAGTTTTTGCAGCGCCTGTATGTAGGCAAAACAAATTTTCGAAAAACGTACAAATACGCACAAATTTAGATATTTAAAAACTAAGCAGCGAATATTTATTATAAAACGAAACTGTTTAATACATTTTTTATAGTAATACTAATAGTAGTAATAATAAACGAAAATGTAATTGAATATATCAAATTAATGTGAAAAACTAATATGTATATGAAAAGTTTCGATTTGCAAAATGATGACTAATTTTCAAAAGTACAAATTTTGACTACTTCATTTTTGTTTTTACCAATTGCCAAACTGAAGACAACAAGTATTATACGTAAAAACTGAATAGAAACAATTTTGCGCAGGTCACTTTTAGGCGTTCTATATATTTTTCATTATATTTAGCATTTAGTTTTGCTATGATTGTTGTTGTTGTTGTTGCACATTATTGAACTGTAAAATTTCCAAAAGCGATTCCTTTGTCGCTGTCGCAGTCAATATTAGAAATACCAAAATTGATGTTAGAAATAGCGAGAATAGCAGTAAATAGCCAAAGGCGCACATTGAGGTGTTGCGGAAGGGGCGAAGCAGTTATTTTGTGTGCAGGGCATGGCCAAGGCACGCACTAGCACACGCACACACGCGGAGGCAAACGCAGCTATAGCAAATCACACAGTCAGCTAGTCAGCCAGCTAGCAAAGGCCAACATACACAGTATAGATTGGTGAAAAATTTTCAGCTGTTGGTATAACAGTTAATCGGAATACATATTTTTTTTTGTTTTTGATAACACACAGTCACTGCGTTTATTTTACTATTGCAACTTTTAAATAATGCATATATACATTTTTTTCTCACTTTTTCTTATATTTTGCTTGTAAATTTGAATATGCAAAGACTTTTGGCTTTTTTTTCGTTTTTTGTGTGAATTTCAATTTTTCTGTAAAAAATCGATAGTAGCGAGCACTTTATTTCAGTCTGCGCCTTAACGTAACAAACCAACCTGACACGAGCTGCGAGCAACCGAGTACTACGAGGCTTAAGGGTAAGCCAGACGTTGGAAACCTGAAACTCGCTGCTCGCATGAGTCAAACTGCAGCGACGACGACGACAACGGCAACAACAATGTTGGCTACGATGACGACGATATTAACTGTTGTTGGGTGTGATGGAAGTTCGCGAAGGCAATACTGAAGTACAGTGGAGCAAAATTTATTCTAATAAACATAAAAAATGCAATATATCAAAGGACTATATGCATCTCTATTTATTAATAATAATAATGATGGGCGTTTAGTTGGTTACTTGGCTGAAAGCGACTTCATGAAGGCAGCAAACGACTAAACTGACACACACAAGAAACTTTTTCAAGGCAAATATACATAAATGTACAAGGTGATTTTTATTGACTGTTCAGGAACCAGCACTATTGGAAATTTATTAAATTTGTATGTAAGTTTTTTTCAACTATATTTCGAAAATATTTTTAAAAGTATTTTTAAGAAATTTTTAACTAAAAATTGGATATATAATTTTTTCAGTTTTCTGTTATACGATGTTTATTTGAATAAAAGGTAAACGTATAAGTAACAGTAAATCATTGTAACCTTTAAATATTAAAAATTTTGAAAATTTTTGTATTTCAAAACCACTATTTCTAAAAATTTTGTAGTGTCCAAAATATGTATGCACATTATATTGGTATATAAATTTATTTTTAAAGAAAAGTTTCGAAAATATTTGATTTCAAAAAATTTTTGAAATATATACTGTTTCTAAATTCGAGTTATAACTATTATACAATTTTTGATTTCCAAAATTCGACTAGGGGTCTATCTGTTAAACCTGACCAAAATTAATTTTTGAAATATTTGCATTCAAAATTTCGAAAATTATTGTTTTTGAAAATGTATAATAACCCGAGCATTTTATATATTAGATTTACTCTTTTGAAGGAAATTATAGATAAATTAATTATTTAAGTCGAATTTATTTTTACAAAATTTTTCATTTCAAATTTTCAAAAGTTTTTGATTTCAAAATTTTTTTTGAAAATATAGCAACCATATAAGGTTGCGTGGAGGAATTAAAAAAACTCATATATCTTTTCGAGCAAATCTTGGCATATCCCTTCTCAATTTGTTAAGTCGATGTTGCGTTTTGAAATTTCAGCACTACCTAACTGTTGCAGGTAAGACTAAGGCGATGGTTTTCGAAAGAAAGCTTCGCATTTTTACGTGATGAATAGTATATGACTTATTAAAATGTTTTAAAATTTGTACGTTTTGCAGCACTGTTCGAACGCGCATCTCACCATAAATCAAAATAAACAACAACAAAAAAGGCACGAAAAGAACCCTTCTTCTGACGCATGCGCCTTTTGGGAATTCAACTAACGCTCTTCTAATAAGTATTACATTACCAACTAATGAGAGTGTGGGAAAAGTGAGTATGCCAACTTAAATTATTCATAAGCACTAACAAAAACCAACTCAAAGGAGACGAAGAATTGGTTGAAGGATAAAATAAAATAGAAAAGAAAAGAAAATCGGACAGACGCAAGTATTTGTAATATAATATAAGTTTAGAAAAAGTTATGTATTTTATTTTTTGTTTTTTTAATTACATATTTTAACAAAATAAATATATAAAATATTAATAATATAGTAACAAATTTTTTGAATTTCTGAAAACTTGTTTATCCGAAATTATCAAAAATATTTGTATGGTTCAGTAATTTATAAAAACAAATCGTTTTCTGAATTAAATAAATATAAAACAAATTTTTGATATTTTTGTATTTGACATTTGGAAAATTTTAGTTATCCAAAATTCCCAACAAATTAATTTTTTCAAGCAAGTAAATATTTATTACTAAATTTGAGTTTAACGAAAATTTGGACGATTTTTTTTAAATTTTACAAATTTTAGTTTTTGAAAATTTTTTTTTTAATATTTATTTTCTTTTAAGATAATAAATATAAAATTTCAGTAAAATTGATATTTTAAAAATTTCAGTTTTCCAAACAAAAAAAGTATAGTAAATAAATACAAAAATATTAATTTGGGTTAAACAAGTACTTAATTTTTTTTTTATTTTTGTGATTTTAAAAATTTTAGCTTTGCAAATTAAAAAAATATTTTTTAAAAATAAATCTAAAAATAAAGTAATAAAAGTTTTTTTTAATAAATATATGTATATAAAATATTGAAATTTCGCCAAAAATTTATTTTTATGGTGTTTTTCGAAACTTTAAAAATTTCAGTTTTCCAACATAAGAAACAAAATCATTTAAGAATTTTATTTATATTATTATTTATATTTGAAGAATAAAAATTTATTTTAATAAATAAATACAAACTGATTAAATTTGAACAAAAAAAAATACTTAAAATTTTTTTATTTTTGTAATTTTAAAAACTTTACTTTTCCAAATTAAAAAAGATAATTTTTTTTTTAAGAAATAAATAGCAGCCTAGAAATACAAAATTTGTCTCATACTATTTCTAAAAAAATTTTATTTCAAATATCGAAAATATTGGTTTTGTCCTTAAATAAATATGCAATAATAACTGTTGAATAAATATGCAATCTTAACTGTTAAAAAAATTATATCTGAATAATGAAAATTATTTTTTTTTTCTATTTCAAAATCTCTCGCCGACCACTTTAGTTTCCACTACCATAACATTTTACATGTCACATCAACGCTTTTAATGTTTAATGTTGCTTGTCAACTTAGCACTAAAACACCAGCAACAACACGACATACTAAAACAACAACGATTGTATTAAATTATATCAATAAAATTCAATACATTTTGGCAGCTGTTGTGGTTGCCACCAACAACAACTATTTGAATGCTTGAAAATGTTCTCTAATATTGCTGCCAAAAGCAATCATTTTCACTCACATCTACACACACACATACACACGTGGGCGCCTATAAATATGCGAGATGCTTTAGTTTATCAGCAGCACTCTGCTGTCAGCGCCTATGGCTATCATTTGTCGCTACGCTCCGCGTCATCTGACTCGTCATCAACATGACTGACAGCAACAAGAACAACAGTAATAATAAATATAATCATATTTCTGTTTAAATACGTGCATGTGTGTGTGTATGTGCGTGTGCATGTGAACAACACTTAGCGCTGCGCTATCAAACTGGCTGACGTAAAATGAAATTTTTATTGATTTCTATGTTTGTTTGCGTGTCGTGTGTGTGTGTGTATGGTAATAGACTTTGCTTATGTGAGTGTGTGCGTGTAAATTGCTCTTCAATGAGTTTTCTCTTGATTTCATCGGCTCTGACAAGCCATTTTGCTATTTTCGCCTCGAGAATTATACACTCAGTCGGCGTGTCTCTTCCTTCCCGCGACACCGGCGTTTCCTGCTGATTCTCTAAATTTCCGTTACACTTTCTCAACTTTGTTAACCTCGCATTTCGCTACTTTTCATTGATAAATATATGTAAATATGTATATAAATTTTTGTTCGTATTTGTTGGTCTTCTATCATCTTTTAATTCTTTCATCACAAATACTTTTATTGGTCTGCTGACATTGAACATAACGTTCTTTTCTAGCACACATATGGTGCTAGTTTGCAAAACTTGTTCAGTCAAGCAAATAGCCGTATAAAAAGGCATTAATGTAATGTTTACCCCCCTCCTACCTAAATGACGTTGAAAGTTGTGTACGCAAATCTGCGGGTGTTTTGGTAATACATGTGTCATTTAGAAACAAAAGTTTTGCGATTTTATTAGCGTTAAAGTTCATGAAATGCGATTTTCGTTTGATGACTGGGAATATCATTAAATTATGCTAAAGAGAGAAAACTAAAACCTTAGGTGGACATTTTATTACATTGTATTTCCCAACAAGTTATGTAATGACCTTGAAACAAGATTCCAAAAGGAAAGAAGAAAGTGAGGTTAAGCTCGAATATTTTCTATCAAGACCTTCGGTAAAAAAAAGTTAATTTCTGCCAAAACCTGTCAAGAAATAATTATGGCAGCCGAAAACTCACCGATCCAAACAAGGTTAACCGCCGAAAAAACAGCCCTTGTACGGATAAATTCCAGTAACGTAGAACAGGCTGTCGTGGAAATTGAAAAAACTTTATTCGGGTGTTGTGCTTGTCAAGACAATAATCTAGTATTACCTAATACTCTCCGCAAAGAACCGACTACACTCGGATCTTAACTCAAATATACAGTCTCGAAGAGATCAGTTACAGTCAGTAAGCAAGGGTTACAGGACTCAGTGTCAATACAACTACAACTCTAGTGTGGGACCTACTGAATTGCGAAACATTGCGAAGTTGTGTTGGGTAGTCATGCACCTGACACTAAACCAGAACAATAATATTTGATAAATTGTAGCATGCGAGACTTACATGGCTTCATAAGCAAAGACGAGAATCCTCAATGTAAATTAGGAACGTATCGGCTTAACAAATCTTATGGACCGCAAAGGCTGTAATATGATTAATGCAGAGGTTTGAAGCGCCAGCGAGCGGAAAACGTAACCGCCTAAACCTAAATTTATTTGCGGCACAATTATTGTTAAACTCAACCAATTTCGAACGGATCGATTAAAATGGTTAACGGTGTTGCAACAGTAACATTTTTTGTTTTTAGAAATTCAACATCTCTCGCTATCTCTCTCCCATAATCGTACTAGCTGACTCTATCAGCTTCTTTCAGACGAAAGTACTAAGCAGAAATGTACTCCAGATTTGAAAACACGAAAAGAAGGAGCTTCAGAATAAGGCAGTAGGAGCTTTAAGGATGCTTACAGCCACTAGGGCCAGTTTACAGCCAACAGGGATATTGATATTTGAGAAAACATGCAACAGTAATATACGCGGAAATTCTCAAAAATGTACGACGGAGTTGATGCGGGATTAGGTATACTGTCCGAAATTAGATATAGGACAGCCTTTTAAGCTGCGGAGTCACTACAGTATATTTCAAGGAAAAGTATTGGGTAAACCGTAAACCGGCGCTAGTCTCAATGCTTCAGCAG